GAGGATAATTCACTCTCCATGCACAGTTGCTACTTTGCCTCTTTACTGACAATGCCAAAACATGGGCTTTGATCCAAATACGTTTGTGGGTTTGTGGTTAGAAACTAGACTGACTGAACGAGTCCTCTGCTAGTACTATCAATCCACACCTACCTGTGACTTACTCGTGGAAGGGTTTTATTACAAATGATATGAACTTTTACATACTCTATAGTGCTGCTCTATCAAATACGGGAAGGCCAAATTTTCCCCACAAATCTTAACAAAATGAATCTATTCCCCATGAATTTTAACCATAGTCCAAAATGGTAAATATCTTACCCTCTGATCCTGATCACAAAGGCCAGTTTTGGTTCAGCAGGTACATAGTAATTGCCAGCTTTGCGTGCCATTCGGGCCATACGAATCTCACGTCTATACATTTGCCTGTACTCCTTGTGATAGGCCTGAGCTCTCGTATAGATGAGTTTTCTCTGCGCTTTACGAAGCTGAAATTAGGGATAAAATTGTCATCCAAAAGTACACTATGTTCATAAACATGTTAACTTACAACAGCTCAATTATATCATTCCAAGTGATCAATAAGCTTTACAAAATGTGTATAATAGATACATAACACCATCCTAACACATGAAAGCAGAAAAAAAATCAACTTCAGCTTTACAGTACTGTAGCATCTCCTGTGCATACAACATTTATTTATTGCAACACTTTGGACATAGTTAAGACAAGCAGACAAGTTTGTTTCCCTCACCTGGTATTTAGAGTAATACTAGTGACATTCTGGACAAAGTTTCAAAAGGCCTTTAATAAATATGTCATAGTGCACCAATGCACAATTTCTTACTGAATAGGCTATCTTCCTACCATATACCAATGAACATTAAGCTCTGAACTTCAAATCATAATACTGCCTCTAAGATTACTCTCCCATAAATTATGAAGGGTATTGTGTTTTGCATCACTTAAAGTACTCAGACTGTGTGTTCTGTTTTTGATCAATATTCCATGAATGAATTGGTTAAAATACCCTGCAAAATCTCAGAGATTAACAAAACAGCTGTCTATATATAAGATTTAAGATCTACTAAATTCTCTCTCTATCACTATGTATTAGAATTGCCTTTACTGTATAAACAAACAATTCAATCAAAAAAGTTTATTAAAATATTTACCTTCTTTTGAACCACTAGCCTCTTCAGACGCTTGGCCTTTATATCAGCAAAAGCCTTTCGCTTTTTCAAAAGGCTTTCTGGAACAGATGGCACCTTCTTTCCTCTAAATTATTAAAAAAACAACAAGACTTGAGAGTCTATTTATAGATCATTTTCACATGACAAATAATGAAAGGTGTGTCTTCAAATTTAGCTTAACTAAGAATTATTATAAGCAGCTTTGAGATACATAAACCACACATGGAAACGAAAATACAGGCCTCAGTGTCCTGAACCAGTTTATAATTACATTCTGCCTCCCTGTATCTTCAGTTGTTTAGGGTCTTACTCAGGCCTGAACTCCTGCATAGCATTATAATGTGTACTTATAGCATCTTTCATCCACAGATAACGAAACTAGTATTGCTGTACGCAGCTAAATAGCTACATCTCACCACAAGGTAACTACCCTTTATTGCTACTTCTAGATATTTATAAAGCAACTACTTATCTGAATACTTACAAATTAAAAGCCAACAAGCAATTTGAAAGACTATCATCCAACACTTGCCTTTTAGACACCATTTGGGAGTCTAAAATTTGTTTTTCTTTCATTCTAATTAAAAACTATCACTCTGGCTTAAAACTGAGGAAAATTCTCTCAAAAAATGGATCTTACATCTAGCTCTGAATACAAGTCAGTCCAGGGACAATTCAAGAACTGCTGACAAACTGCTGCAGTGGTGGCTGTAGCAATTCCTGGCTATAGCTTGAATACCAATTAAATTTGATAATGATACTTCATTATGAAGGAAGTCTAGGGTCATTATCACCGAGGCTTGTAATTCAACTCTTAAGTTTTGTGGGAGTTTGTCTGAAAGACCATCTAGGAAGTCGCTCCTAATTTTAGAAGAGTAACATCACAGTTTGTAATGCATCGTCCATTTAGAGATAAATAGTGCCCTTCGATACATGGGCACAACTCCCACTAGTTCCATGCATCTAAAGGCAGCATCTGGTCCTAAATAATGCTTCATACAGCACATTAACAGGGCAAGAGAGAAGTGACTGCTGTATTACCTATGGGACACGAGACTGTACACGCTGCTGCCCCATCCCATCATGATGGTTCCTGAGCAGCAACACCTCTCCCCCAGTAACCCCAGCCCCGCTCCCAGACACCCTTCCTCCTCGAACACCAGGGCTCTACGCAGTCAGGCGGCCGCATCCCTCGGACTCCGCCGCACCCAAGAGACTCTCCATCAAGCCCTGCGCACGCCAGGCGAGGAGAAACAACCCCCTCTGCCGCCCCAAGCCCAGGCCGCCCCGGCCACACACAGGTCTGGGTCGCCGGGGAGGACCTGAGGTGGGTCAATACGAGCGGCAGCGGAGAGGCAGAGCCCCGGCGGTCGGGCTCGGGGAGCCGGCCGGGGGCAGAGGCCACCACGCCGCGGATGGAAGCGGATTTTCCCGGGGAAGAAGCTGCACTTACTCTTCGCCCGCCATGATCCCCACCGGAAAAGAGAGCGCGCGCATGCGCATCATACACTTAAAGAATCGGGTCCGGGAAGAGGCCAACGCCAAAAGCCCTGGGTTTTGCTGTCTTACGCGGTGCCTGAATACAATTTAGGAATAGGGAGGTGACTACCTGAGTGCCTGAGCTGTACCGGTGGCCAAGTTGAAGGGGCTCAGAGCTGGATGGGAATGTAGGGGCGGAAAGCGAAGGGTAGATGTCTCATTGAAACACACAGTAGTAAGCTTTTACAGACCCGGAGGAAGAGGCTATAAACACTTCCCTTTTAAAACATCACTAAAGCCCCTCCAGCTTGGCTACAGCTTCAGCATGCTGAGTTGGGCGCAATCCACAGTCCCAACAGTGTTCAGGCCCAGAGGTGTAATTAAAAATGTAATCACTTTTGTTATTACATTAAATAGTTCATTTCCATAGTGTGACTGATTCACTTCAGCTCCAAGAGATGTTCTATGGGGCTAAATCCTGAGCCTGAGTGTTAAGATTGACTTTAATGGGATCAGGGTTATTATTTATTTTTATTATTTGCCGAGTAGTGACACAACACATATATCAACACAGTTTAGGTCACAGAAGAGGTTGAAAATCTCAAAAAGTTGATACAGAAAGAAACTTGCTTATTATTGTTAAAATCTAACAATGTTTTGTTTATTTGTGGCCATAACTAGTTTTAATCATGCATTAAATGGATAATCTTGTTAATTTTATTTTGGGTCTCAGACCTACTGGTGAGAAAAAGGGACTGGAAATTGAGCAAAGACCCAGTCTCACACACACTTATGCACAAGTTTAACTTCATTCATGTGAATTGTCCCACGGACTTCAATGTGACTTTAAGTCTTTGCAGCATTAGATCCCAAGTTTCTTAGGTTCCATTCCCATCTCTGCAGCCAGCTGATTCATTGTGCAATTTGAAAAGTCATTTAAGGCATCGCTGCCATAAACAGATGAACTTCAATGGAGTTGCATCTACTTGACTAAAATAGTCTGTTCATCTAAGTATTTTTACGGATGGCCACTCACTGTGCTCTAGGGCCCCAATCCTGAAAATGCTTAAAGAGGGATGAAACTTTACTCCAGTTTTCTCATTGACTTCAGTGGAACTGCTTATGGAGTAGAGTTACACACATGCAGAGCAGTCCTATAGAAAACAATGGAACTGAATGTGTAGTGAGGGTAAAGCAGTTTGTCCCAGAATAATTAAGTTACTATTATTTTAATTTATTTGTTTTGTTTTACAGCTTCCAAAAGTATGCTAGGTGTTAGATACTTTTATTGTAAAATGTTGAATTAATAATAATACATTGGCATTTGAACAGCAGCTGTTTTAGTATTATAGATGTAAAAACAAATGGTAATACTAATTTATACTAGTACAGCACCTTACACTCATGAATCTTATTAAAACTACAGCAAATAACAGGGAAATTAAAAATACATTCACAAGCAAATGTTCAATTAAATTGTTATATTAGAATAACTATTGTCCCAGAGCAAGAATTTGACTATCAATAATAAGCTGAACTTTTTTCTCTGTCGCACACTACAAACTGGTTCGTACGTCAGCTTACACATCACCCTCAAACAGTGGGCTCGCCCGAGAAGCAAAGTGGCCGGTGGTGACTACAAGTCCCATCATACCAAGTTCCACTTTGGCCACGGCTCCGGGACGTGTTGAAAGGCTGTAAGTCGCCGGACTCAAGATGGCGCACTGCACTCTGGGACCTGTAGACGAAGGGACCCGCTTTGCATTCTGGGACATGTAGTCCCTTTCCCGTTCCCTCCTCTAGCTGGAAGATTTGGAGGACAGTTTCTAACCCAACCGCGAGGTCCCCGCCGTGGAGAGATGTGTCTTGTGTCGCCTGGCAGCAAGCGGGACCGGAAGTCCCGCTGAGCGGCGCGGGCCGGGGGGAGAGGTGTGAGTGGCTGGGGCTTGGGCGCGTATCGCCGAGCGAGGCGTTGCCTGTGCCTCAGGCAGCGGCGGAGAGCGGCTCTGGGCTGGCCGCGGGGAGGTGGTGGGACCACGGCGGAGTTGTTGCTGGGTCTGGGCCCGCGGGGGCGGGGCCTGGCGTGCATGGGCGGATCCCACCGACTCCCCGTGACGGCGGTGGCTGGGCCCGGTGTGGGAGGAGATGGGGTGGGGAGCGCACGGAGAGGGGCTGGCGGGGCACCAGGGGACCTGGTGGGGCCTGGCGGCGAGGAAGGGGTGGGGCCGCGCTGGCGGGTGCTGTGGAGGCGGAAATGGGCTGGGGGAAGATCTGGGAATGCAGAGGGGGCTGGGCTGGGGGAGGGCCTGGGGATGGGGTGGGGGAGGGGACCCGTTTCCCAGCCGTGGGTATATAGCGCGCGGAGCGTGGAGATGCTCCCTTCCAACCAGTGGCGGGGTGCAGAGCGCCGGAGGAGGGAGCTAGGCAGGGGCGCAGGAGAGGGAAACCCGGCGCCTCGTTCCCTGGCTGAGCGGTGGAGGTGGCCCCTCACCCTGCGCTAGTGATAGCTTCTCCTCAGGCAGTGCGAGCGGCAGCGAGGAGGGAGCCAGCCCCGGCTGTGTCGGCAAACTTAGGGCGGCTCGATTGGGTGGCTGAACTTGCTGGCCGGCGTTCGGCGAGGAGCTGCCGCCCTCGGGGAAGGAAATCGGGTAGCGCAGAGGGCGCTTGTTCCTCTTTAAAGTCTCCCTGCCCTCAGCCCTGTAGCCAGCGCTGCAGGCACGGCGGCTCCCGAGCAGCCAGAGGAGGCGGCGAGCTCCGCGGTTCCCAGGCAGTAGCAGCCCCAGGTGCCTGCAGGCAGTGTGGTGCCTGGGCAGTGCTTGGTGTTGGGGGTAGTGGGTGCCTACGCTGCTGCTTTCCTCTGGCTGCTGAGGGGAAGCTTTGCACGGCCCCTTGCTCGATAGGCTGAGCGGACTGTGCCACGGTTGCCGGTGTCCCTTAAGTTCATTGCGCTCCGCACGGCTTTTCTCCGCTCTCTGGAGAGCGGCTGCGGGACCCTTTGGCGCACAGAGAAGGCAGGTTCCCCTGTACCAGGGCACCGGAGACGCCCCTTCCCGCGGTAGGCAGCGGGGACTGTAGCTGAGCCCTTGGGGGACAGCGCTGCAAGCATGAACATCCTGCTGGAGTTCTTCGTAGTCACTTTCAAAGTGCTCTGGGCTTTCGTGCTGGCTGCGGCCAAGTGGCTGGTGAGGCCCAAGGAGAAGAGTGTGGCGGGGCAGGTGTGCCTCATCACTGGGGCAGGCAGCGGCCTGGGCCGCCTCTTCGCCCTGGAGTTTGCCCGGCGCCGGGCGCTGCTGGTGCTGTGGGACATCAATACTCAGAGTAATGAGGAGACGGCAGGCATGGTGCGCCACATTTACCGTGAGATCTCCGAGGAGGCGGCTGCCGCTGCCCAGCAAGGTAACTGCGCTGCCTACCTCAGGCAGGATATACTGGGTCTATATGCTGATCTATTTTGTGTTCCTGATATAGATCTAATACATGTTTTATCTCCGCCGCCTCCCCTTCTTTTCTTTTTTCCTCCCCCCAGTAAATGTAGGGACTACAGGAACAGCCCACTGCCTGAGATCTGGGGACAGTGTGGCTCTGGGATAGTGGACTCTTACTGGGTTAGCCTCCCATGAGGCAGTGGTCCTACCTTCCTGCCAGCCTGTCTTTTGGGGGGCAGAAGGATGGTGCTACACCTGATGGTGCTCAGCGAGGGGTGAGGTGCATAGGTGCTGGAACTAGGTGTGCTGGGCATGCTGCCACAGCCCCTGGCTTGAAGTGGTTTCCATCATATACAGGGTTTACAGTTTGGTTCAATGGCTCTCAGTGCCCACATAAAAAATTGTTTCAGCACCCCTGGTGAGGGGGAAGTACCCAGTTTATAATGTGTGGGGAGTATTTCGTGGGAGGGGGCATTTCTGGAGATGGCTTCTGCGGAGCTCTAGTATTGCCATGCTATTATTTTTGTACAGCTTCCTCCTAACTTCCCATAAAACTATCTTTCACCTGCTTCAGGAAGGGTAGCTAAATGACATGCTTACAAGAAAATCACTTGCATTTTCACAGTGGTAGTCCTCCTGCCAGGAAAGGAAAAATGGTAGTTAGAGCTGAACATCCAGAGGGGGTATTTCTGGGATTCTTTAGTACTTGTGTATTTCCTGACCACACTGTCTGATGGTGACCAGGGGCATGGTTTGTGACTTAAACCAGGTTGGATTTTTCATTGTCCTACAAATCCAGCTGTAAGCAAGAGTTTCATCCCACACCCGCAATCACTCATATCTGACCACCCAGGAAGGAGTGGGGTTTGTGTGCTTGTATTCCTTGTTAGGAAGAGAGTTTCATGAGTGGAAGAGTACAGGCCATTTTCATCAGTATAACCTTTGATTCAGACAGCTGGAGCCTTTTTCATGCAGGAACAGTAAATATAGTGTTTGTTTACTGTGATGATGCCAAAGTAAATAGAACTCTTAAAGTGTAATGGAGGAGTGTTTACTCTCTTTCTGCTTTGTGACTTTTTACCTGAAGGTTGATGTCTAATTGAGAATGTAACCTTTCTATTCTGGATTCCTTAGCAGCTGGAGATGGTGAAGAAGAGGTGTTGCCCCACTGCAACTTGCAGGTTTATACATATACCTGTGATGTGAGCAAGAGAGAGAATGTCTACTTGACAGCTGAGAGGGTCCGCCAAGAGGTTGGAGAGGTTTCAGTCCTGGTTAACAATGCTGGTGTGGTGTCTGGGCACCATCTCCTAGAGTGTCCTGATGAGCTTATTGAAAGGACCATGATGGTTAACTGCCATGCACACTTCTGGGTAACTATACATTTGTTTATGCTTCACTTTTGTTCAGTTTATTTGGGGAAGGGTGTTCTGTCACTTAGTTTTGTGTATGACTTTGCACTTATACATACAATCTACTACTCTTTTGGATTACTACCCAATAGGGTTGGAGAGTGGCAAGGGGAGAAGAAATAGTTTTTGTACCAACTATTTAATTGTAAAATCAATGTTTTACATGACTTTCAGTATAACATTTTCTGTATGAACAACTTCTGAATAGTCTTGTCTACTGCTTTCAGTTAATACTTTTTGTAGCCTTGTACTGGCATTTTAGCAACTTTAAGATAACACTTGATGCTATAGTATTGATTCACCGATTTCTCAAAAGATACTTAAATATTTCTTAAAAGCCCTGTCTGAGATGTAGCTAAAGTTGGCTGTAAGGGAAGCTGTAACTTTTGAAGACTTGGCAGGGAGGAGAAGAGAACCTCGAAGGAAAATCAAGCTAGAAGGTCTTTATCAGAAATCTTGCATATTTGTAATTATAATTCGTTCTCCAGAGTAAACCATTAGTAGTAAAATAGAGCTACATGGATTCTTGTGTGGTGATGTTGTTTTAGTAACTGACGAATGCTAAATGAAAAACTTAAGCTACATAGTCATATTCTCACTGAATTTTGTTGCTCTTTTTTTTTTCTTGGTACTCATTTCAACAGAGTTATATAAACTAGAATGTTAAAGCCAGGCATGATACACACTGGGCCTGCATTGGCTGTCAGACTAAGTCCATGGCATTAGAACTGTCCTTTGGTCCCTCAAATAAGGTTATGAAATATACTTCCAAAACAGTTAAAGAATTAAGCAATCTGAAATCTACTTCAGCAGATGCCTGGTAAATTATTCCTGCATGTGTAATATTAAAATCTTGTGAAATACATGGTGTACAGAAACTTCACATGCCTCTTTACTGTAACTTTTTAACATAGGAGTTAAATGCTGTTTCATAACCCTAAAGGAGCCCCTTCAGATCAACACTGGGAAACACTTAATGGCAGAGCAGTCTAACTTTTTCCCAAGTATTGTAGAACTTGTCTATAAAGCATATTTAAACTTCAGTGCACATCAGATACTGTGTTTGGAGACTTAACTCTGAAAATATGCATTTACAGGAAACTTGAAAAGTTTTAAAATATCTTTTGAACTCCAACAAGATCCAAAAGCTCTGTACAGTCCACTGATAAAATGCAGGTTTCAGAGTAGCAGCCGTATTAGTCTGTATCTGCAAAAAGAAAAGGAGTACTTGTGGCACCTTAGAGATTAACAAATTTATTTGAGCATAAGCTTTCATGAGCTACAGTTCACTTCATTGGATGCAACCACTGCATGCATCCAATGAAGTGAGCTGTAGCTCACGAAAGCTTATGCTCAGATAAATTTGTTAGTCTCTAAGGTGCTACAAGTACTCCTTTTCTTTTTGATAAAATGCAGTAAATCCAACTGATGCTTACAAAAGCAGGGATATTCACTAGGTTTAATGAGAGTTCTTGTTGTGCTTTTAAGATGTGATTTAAATACAAAACTTAGACTTCTTGGAAACTCAGTTATGACATCAATGTACATTAAAATATGGGAGGTTCCTAGATTCTCCAGCTGTTCTTCCCTCAGGCATGTAAATCAAGACACTTATTTACAGCATTGTTTCAGAGAACTTGTTTTAAGGCACACATTTTATATTTGCTGAGTTCCTAACAGCTATAGGAAAACAAAGTTAGACTTAAGCAATTTTTGTGATATTTTTCCATTTAAAAGGAAACTTCTTCCAAACTCTGAATCTGTCAAACTTTTTGTATTGGAATGCTTGTTGTACATTGCATTAGCCTAAAGGCTAAAGCTACTGCAAGATCAGTGCTGGGGGTCTCCTGAACTTGGATTCACTAAAATTTTTAAGGAGCTATCAACACCCTCTTCATTTAACTGAAGACCTCTTGATCTAGAGAAGGAGTATACAAGCAGATCAGCCTGTGTCCTATGTTTTTGGCTTTTTTGGGGAGGTGAGGTGAGGGGATGCTTGGCAGTTTTTGGTGTTGGCAGAGCTGTCCTCCTCCCTCTCCAGGTCGCACAAATGGCTGGTTTGACCAAAAGTGGGTGGACTTTTTTTATTTTTATTTTTTATTTTATTTTTTTAAACTAACTCATAAGATACCATCTGAAACAGCCAGATCTGGAGCCAGGTTTTCTTTTTTTAGTGTAAGTTAATGCTGACTTTAACTAGGACAGTGTGTCTAGATGTATGAAATCAGACTTTTCCATGTCAGCTAAATTGCTGGTACAGCTGCAAAACCTAGTACTCCAGAGCATTTGTGTAGACTTATGACTGTCCTTCGAGGGTGTTTAGTCCCAAAAACCCATGAGTGGATTACAGTAAAACACATTCCTTGTCACGTGACTTAGAATAATTGAAACAATATTATAAAAGGAAATTCTTCCCACTTCCTTAAACAACACTCTGAAGTTTCAATGCACCTGTGTATGAATAACTGAAAAATATGACTTTGGCATTATCCTTCCGAAATTAGTGAAATGGGCACACTTTTATCTGAAAACTGCAAGTAAATTGAACAAATAATAATCTTCTAATTTTGTATTAGCAGCTATTTACTTTTTCCAGCATGTGGGGAGTGAAAGGCATGTCATATCTGCTGTTGTGACCCAGCTAGGCTGTACCATGTCACAGACTGGCAATGCCTAAAGCTTTGTTGGCATGCCTCAGCCGAAAGATACCTTTCATTTCACTGACATGCATGATTTGAATAGTACTTTCTATGGGAGTTTTATATAGCATGTGTCACCACTGTATCTAACTATTGCAATCTTTACTGAATAAAATTATCAATGTGTACTGAATACATGTAATTCAGTTTTCAGATAACGAGAATGCTTCTGATATTGAAAATTGTTAAGGGGCACTAAGTATGCTGCTGTATGAACAAAGCTTGCACTACTTGTAGCCCACAGGTGTATAAAGCTGCAGCACGTTAATGTAATGACTCTTCTCATTACACCCTCTTACAGTAGTTATGATATACTGAGTCATCCCTGTTGTTCAGTTCCAGGAATTTACTCTTAAATTCCGCCCAGACTTTTTCTCCCCCCGTGATGATGAGCCAGAACTTCGGTTTGATAAACTTCAGATCACAATGCAAGACTTATCTGTTTGATTAGCCTTCTTTAACTGATGACTGGATCATTCCTATTACTTGATTGTTTGTTTTACAATAAAGACCAATACTTGATGAGGCACCCAAGTGCCTCAGCAATGAGGGACTGTGTATAAACAACAAAAGAAATTGCACTAAATAGGAATCTTTCTTATTTGTGGTATATCTTTGGTCAAATATTGTCCCATATTATCCATCTTGGAACAGTCTTTCAGATTCTTTTGAGACTTTTTCCAGTACATATATGATTAAGATTATGCTATTTCCACATCCATAGACATTTGGTATCTACTAGGAGCTTTTTTAGGTCTTGTTGCTAGAATGAAAACTCTTGAACAAATGCTCTAATATAACAAAATACTAGAATCTGAAGACTTAAAGGTCTGTGGCACAGATCTTTAAGATCCAAATCTGAGGGAGATCAGTCTGGTAGTAATTCTGCTGTTTTTCTGACATGTATGGATTTTTCCAAAACTTTCAGCTTAAACTTACCTCTTCTAAAAGAATAGCATCTTGCCCATCACAGGAAGATCAGCTTTCTCTTTGACTAACCAAAAGGGGGAAGCAAAAGCGTTTAACTCCAGTTCTGGAGTATTCTCCAGAATTTTTATACAGGGTCCTACCTTGGAAAGACTTTCACACATTCTTAACTATGTGCTATGAGTACTCCATGTGTAAACATGTATATAAGTCTTTGTGGAATTGGAGCCTAAATCTTTGACAGACTTATTTATATTGATATAGTAAGCAGGTAAGAGAACCTACTGTCTGAAAAGTTCTCATTAGTTATCTCCTTCCCAAGCAGGGAATTCTTTTCTATGAAATGCCTAAAGCCTATGTTGTTAAATGTTTTGTTCAGGAAATTAAAAGCCAGCCAGTACAAACTGCCTAATGTTTAATAAATCTAATGCATACTCATGCAGTTGCTCTACTACCTATAGTGGTTTCCAAAGGCTTGTGATCCAGGTGTGTCTTGTAGTACTGAAACTGTTACGTCAGTCTTGTTCAATCTTTAGAAAATTTTAATACTGTTCAATAATGCCCATATTTTAGCTATAGACCTTGCTTTTTTCTAGTAACTGTTCAGGTTGAGACCTAAGCTAAATTTTCTCATTGAAATAATCATGTACAAATGTGCCATATTTCAAATGACCTTTATATAAATGTATATATTTGCTCTGTATAAATAATGTGCATATATATATTTAAATATGCAGGTCTACAAATATTCCTGGCTTAATGTTTTGAGGGCTGTGTGCATAGTGACTTATGGCGCAGAACTTTTTTTTATTTCTTTAGTATTTTTACTATGTATGTTTACCTTTAAATGCACATGCTAGTCAGTCGAGATGCTAAATAGCTGTTACACTTGTGTTCAAAATGGTAAATATAGGTAGTCTTAATAGTGCATCTACAGCTCCTAATAACTAACTTTGTCCTCAGAAGTACAAGACTGCAAAAGGGACGCTTACTTAAAAGTACTTGCAGTATTTGCCTGCTTTTAACAGTGAACCAAGTCAAGTTCTGTTCCAGATGTGTGAGGGAAGAAGTATGGTCTGACCTGGCTTCTATCACAATTGACTTTTCTCCCCTTTCCCCCACCTTAGAGTCAGTTGATTAAGGAGTTGACATCTGGGCAAAATACCCTGTCCCTAGACATTTCCTAACTTGCTAGGCTGCTTACATGATGTTGGAGTACTGAGTGAACAGTTGTCTTGGTTCTTGACTTCGCTAAATATATTAGTGCTTCTATAATAACACAAAAAATGTTTCTCTGCAATAGAGGAGATGTTAGTTTGGAATGCACCCTTTACA